GGTACATGGACCCTCTGGGTTACGTAACGACTACTCGGCTATCCAACCATCCTTCATCTCCAGCGTGAGGCCGCTCGTGTGCCGGGATTTGACGAGCAGACACAGCCTGACGATCCCGAGGCGCTTCTTCTGGCGAGGCCCCGCAGGGGTTTGGGGTGTACCTGAACCCCCAAAGTATGTAAAATAATGGCCTTTTGGGCTATATTTAGGGGTTTAGGGCTATAATTTTACCTACTTTTGGGGTCTAGGTAGGGTTTCGTGGAGTTTGGGGTTTAGGGTTTAGGTTTAGGGGGTTTCGGATTGAGGGTTTAGGGTTTAGGAGTTTTGGGTTGTGGGTTCAGGGTTCAGGGCTTAGGGTTTAGGCACTACTAACTAAAGTCCTGAGGCTTTTATGAAAGGAGCTGCTTATCTGCTTATAGAAGTCTTGCCTGAGATGTGTGTTTGGTAAGGTTCCAGGGTAGATACAGACTATTTCAGGATTAGGGTTCGGGGTTTAAACCCTATAAACCCCTAAACCCCAAACCCTAAACCCTAAACCCTAAACCCCCAAACCCTAAACCCTAAACCCTAAACCCCTTAGAGTTTAGGCTAGGAATTTTGGCTCTAGGGCCGCTTGCGGCTTCGGGCCTCGGATTTCAGTTGAGGGTTTAGGGAACAGGGGTTGGAATTCAAGGTTCAAGTTTTTGGATGACCCTAAGGGTCCAAGTACCTAATTATCATATACTTACCCAAGACCTGTACTATAATTACAATTACCCAAAACCCAAGTACTTACTTATTAGGTACTTGGACCCTCTGGGTGAGGGCTCTAAAGGCTCAGTCTAAAGTCTAAGCGCGCCCAAAAACCGTAAAGTCAAGAGTATTACCCCTTCCCCCTTGATTAACTGTGGAGACCCCTAGTTATCCTTGAACAGTGGGGAACGAGAGAGCTCCAATGTGTAGGGGGGGTGGTACGAGAACCCATGGTGAAACATCAGCCCTCGGCCCTAAAACCTTCAGACAAAACCCAGATGCGGTGTAGGGCTCAGGCTTAGGGTTTTAAACCAGGCAATTTGGGTTTCGGGTCCTCTGCTTTCGACCTTGACTTCGAGCGTTTAGGTTTAGACCCAAAAAGCAGGTAAAACAATAGCCCCAAACCTTTAAAAATAGTCCAGAATCCAAAGCCTCGAAGCCTAAACCCGAAACCTAAACTCTATGAACCTTTGTGTGGGTGCGGCTCCGGTCTCTGCCTGGAGTCTTCTAGTTGCCGAAAACGGTACAGAGAATCCATATGGATTTTGGTCCCCTGGAACCATCATTCGAAGGTCCATAGTATGGATTTAGGTCCCCTTAAACCTTGGTGCTAGCACGTGTCATTCCTTCACATCTGAAATCTAATAGAAGCCTGAAAAGTTACGAATAGTATCCCCGTGGCTGTACAGGTAGGTACAGATATACTTCCAGCAGACATGCAACCTTGAAGCCTACACCCAAGACCTTAAACCCTACACCCATCCCTAGAAGCCCAGTTACCTATATACTGGGCTCCTGTCCTTAAGACCCTTTTATAATTTTATATTATCTGTAACCCAAGGACCTACTATATGGTCGTTTACCAAAATAGAGGGACCCCTTATAGACCCCAATATACTATGGTCCTTATTATGGGGATCCCCAAAATGGTACCCCTAATTTTGGGAAACTCCCATATGGGTACCTGGGCTTCTAGGGCATTGTAAAGGCTATTTAACCTAGATCCCGAGCTTTTGCTTCCTGAGCTTTGCAGCGTCTCTCAGACAAATCCTCACTTAGCTATCAAAGTTTGAGCTACAGTACTTGGAGGTCCATTGTACTTATAACCTAATTAGTAACTGTAGTTATAACCCAAT